CACAGTTTAAGGCGAAAGACTTGTTTTCTTATTCTAATTGACACTTTGGGGTCATTTGTTTACCTGAAAGATTAAAAAAAGTATAAATCCACAGTAATTATTTCCCTCCTGCAGAAACAGCCACGAAACAGTCAAGTCAAATAAAGTCTGGTTCTTAATTCACTTCATTTGGCAGCTACCCCCATTGCAGTTTAAGACATTACATACCTGTATGTTAATAACCAATCTCTATGCTGATGGTGTCTTTAGTTTTTGTAGTTCACATAGATGTATCAATTTCATAACCGGCTAAAAATCCTCACAGGAGCTTTAAAAAACAAAAAACATTTAATTATAACAACAACAAAACAGATATGCAATCCCGCTGGCTCAGGGCCTAGAGAAAAGAAGACTAACTCACTGCTTATTTGGATGCCAAGTAAGCGCTTTATATCATAGGTATTCTGAGTAATGCGATGTGAAGCTACGAGCTAACTAATGGGCGCTAACATTAGCCTGCTACCACAACAGGCCACAGGCAGTCGCAGCTCAAGCCAAGGAAAAGTTTGTCCACCGCTTGCGCTTCACTCCTTCATGCGAACTCCAGTGAGAGGGGGGTTGGAGGTGTTTCGCTGGAGGAGAGCGGAGGCTTCAGAATAGGAGAGGTGCGGCCAAACAGCAGTTTGTTTTGGTTTAACGCTGGTGCTCAAGGGCGACATCTACTGGAAAGTCGCACATTCTGAAAAAAATGACCAAATATAAAATCATCCAAAAAGAGATGTTAGCTTTCATGCTGATGCAGCCATACTAAAGTTAGCACTTGACTGATGGGTGAATAAAATGTAAATGAGTCTCAAATAAAATATTCAACCTTTAAAAATAATTCACGTTTTAGCATTAAAACTTTCTTAACTCCTAATTCTGTACGTTTTAATCTTGTTTGATTATCGTAGAATCATCGAATTATTTGCAGGTGTCCGTCTTAAGTTGTGTTTGCTGTTCTTTACAGACACCATCACTTTATTTTAGTTTTGAGCCCGGCTGACTAAACAGACAATATTTAGGATCAAGACTGAATAATTAAAAAAAAAAAAGATTTAACATCAAGTTTATGGAAACCACATTCTGCTTCTAAGATGAAAAAAAAAAGGTGCATTTTTAACGAGTGTAAATTCATGCTTTTACAGATCAGACATTAGAAATGTTTAAACCTTTTTGACTCTTTTCTTTTTTTTTCCAAACTGAGTCCGAACAAGAAGTTGTGTTCTAGACTCTGATGACTTAATAGATGTTAAGAGACGGTCTCCCATTGATTTTCATAATTAAGTTGCCGCTCAGTTGAACAGTGTGGTTTGTGTTCTTGTTTGTTGTTACAGCATGAGAGAGAAACGTCCTCACGTTGTGCTCAGAATAGCTCCTCACCAATTTTAGAATAGCTTGAAATACTTTTGTCCCTGCTGACTTGTTCACTTCAAACTGGCTGTTCTTAAAGTAGAAAACATTACAAATGTGCAAACGTCACGTTGCCATAATATTATTTGCTTTGGTAGTACTTTTAAAATGCTCCCTGGAGAGACAGAGGATCGTCACAAGACAGTTTTTGTTCTGATAACTTCAGTGTACTCTGAAGAGGAAATAGAAACAGAAGTGTGTCTGTTTTGTTTCCAGACAGATTATGAATGTGATTCTGATAATGAAAGGAACTCGTCAGCACAAAATGTTCCCCGTCTGTACAATATTAATCAGTGGAGGTGTTGTAATGTGAGTAGGTGGCTGGCGCTGGAGATGTTTTTTTTTTATGGGATAAGAGGATTTCATGTGCTGTAGTAACACGCTGATGCAGCTTCCCATTCAAAAGAAATGCATCCTGGGCTCGGACTCGCCTTTATACTGATGAACTTAAACATCATATGATTAATTCCTCCAGCAGGGTTCACTTTTTTCTTCATCGACAAAACAAACATCCATATATATATATATATATTTTTTTTAAAGATATTTTTTGTTTTGCCTTTATTGGATAGGACAGCTGAATAGAGACAGGAAATGTTGGAGTATGTATTTCACACTGGCTTTATGTTTTTGCTCACCAGTATCTCGGCTGTATAGAAGTCCTGCGGTCGATGAGATCCCTGGATTTCACCACGAGATCACAAATAACAAGGTAAGACCACACAGCTCAGTAATTCCATCTTCTTCTTCTTGATTGGAAACGGTGATCATTCATTCACATATAACAAAAAACTTAATAACTAAAAAGGACTTTTTAACTTGCAGTTTTTTTTACATGAACTTAACTTAACAAAAATGAAAGATTCAATTAAAGAAACAGGACATTCCTGAGAGCCAAAGATATTGTCCTGTGTCAGTGAATATAAAATGATATTCTGTAAACCTCTTCAGACGTAAATATCTTATTGAATGGCCCATGTTTTTCTGATATGGACACATTTCAACAACATTAGATAATAACTTCTAATAAATGATGGACAGCCAGTTAAAGTCGTACAATAAGACTCTGTAAAAGTGTTTAATGAGGTCATGAATTTGATATTTGCCACTACTGACACCTGATTCTTCACAAACATTTTCTTAAGATAAACTTAGGAAGTTCTTCAGAATGTTCTTAAGTTTAGTTCCTGATTGTTTTCTTAAGAACAGTCTCATTTCTTAAGAACTTCTTTATTTTCGAACTTCCTTATTCTCTTTCTTGTGAACTTCTCAGATGCTGCAGGGCAGGCATATATGTTGATATAATAGGCCTATGCACACGTCTATATATACTGTACATTGGGTACAATTCATTGACTAAAGGCCTGAAATGTTATTTCAATACATCATAATAAGCTTGTTAGTCAACATTATTGCTGTAGAAAACATATTTATACTTTAATTTAAAAAAAAAAAAAAACTTTGGGTAAAGGAAAAGATTACAACATTAGTTCATTTCTTTCGGTAAAGGCAAATTAAAAATAAAATTAACTGTTAAATATGCTATTTCAGGAGTACCAGAGACATGAGACTTACACCAAAAACAGAAGTGGCTAAAATGAACACTAAAAGTTACAACAAATTTATTAAAGCTGAAAATCCCAATCGATGTGTTTTTAATGAATTTAGAGACTAAACTTTCCACTCTTAACAATTTTAGGACAGGTGTAGTGTGATCTTAAAGTTACGAGGAGAATTAGGAAGAAATGTAAGAACTTTGCTTTCAATAATCACGTTCATTCTTAGGCTTTTTTCTTAGTTTTGAAAATAAATAAGCACTTATTTCATGAATATCAAATCTTCTTAACTTTTGTCTTAAGACTGAAGTTAAGAAGAAATCAGCAAGTTTTTTTTTTTTCTTAAGATGGTTTTGTGAATCCGGACCCTGGTTTTGTACATGTAGAAAATAAAAATCCTTAGTACAATGTGGATTTAACCCAGCTGCATATCTGATTTGTTACTCAACATTTCACAGAACAAATACAAGGGGAAAAAACAAACATGCTTAAAAAGCGCTTTACAAACATTTGGACATCATTTTTTTCCAAGACCCACTTCTGGTGCTCGACCCACCAGTTGAGAACCTTTAAGTAATGACTACATGTATTTTTGTACCAAAGACTACTTTAAGAAAATCACTGAAAGCAGAAACGTATGACTCTGTAATTAAGTGTTTCCACATGGAGTCCAGCTCTTCTAAAAACCCTTTTACGACATGTGATATTTGTCAGAGGACTTATAGCGTGCATTTTATTAGAATTTATTTCATTGAATTTCCGGGGATCTCCGCATGTATCTTTGAAACCATTGATCAATGTGCAGTGAGCCAAAGGCCAAAAGTAAATCGGTTTGTGTCATGTCTAGTTTTATGCTTGACTTCCTGAAGTCAGTCCGGACTGAAGTGAGCTTGCCAGGCCACGCAGCGGTAACTCCTCACGTGTGTCTGAGTGTTTCCTCTAATAAATAGAAAGGAAGACAAACCTTTGTCTCATACTCTTACCCCTGTTGATGACCTATAAAAAATCCAAATAATTTGTCCAATACTTCAGTAAAATAGCTTCAAACTGTACCTTCATTGAGTCATTATTAGCTACTGTTAGCATAAAATGCTCATTCAAAATGGAACAAGGAATAAAACCCAGAAAAAAAAGTAAATTGAGGCAATAAATGAACTGACGAGTTCATGAGTCATTTTCTCAACTGGTGTTACAGTCAGGCTTGTGTTTGCAACCAGTGACGGTGCCCCCTGCTGGCGATCAGAAAGTATAAAGGTTAAAAGCACTTCATCGTTGCTTTGGCTCAATTCTTAAATGAGAATGATTTTTTTTTTTTAAATCATTAAGCTCATATCTCAGAACAATCTGTTTGCCATTCACAACAGATTCAAAATATTTCATTCATTCAAGCACATTTAATTGTTTTGGTTCATGTGTGCAAAAGAGTAAGTCGTAAGTTGATTCTCAGTGAAAATTTCAAATTCTTCACAAACTCTTAGTTATCAAACTGTGTTGGACATGCCTGTATATTCATAAATATTATACAATATATATTAAACAAAGTACAGTCAATGTGAACACGCATGGGGATGTTAGTATTTAGCTCAGAAATGTTGCTGTGAATCTGTATCCGTCTATGGTCATCATCTTGACTTCATCTTCCTGTCTCCCTCACTCCCTCCCTCCAGGGAAGCCATCAGTCTGGTGTGTGAGGCTGTTCCAGGGACCAAAGGAGCCCTGCGGAAGAGAAAGGTACATTGATGGACAGAGAGGGAGGGAGATGGTGTGATCACGTGTACAGTGAAGCCCACACAGAGAGAGCTGAGAAAATAAACGTTATTGAGCAGTACAGTAAAGAGAGAGCGTGACAGTAAAACAGTATTAGATATCCATTTACCCTTCTGAGGTCTATTTATAGTACCGCCTCTCTAGGTTTTTTTTTTCTCCTCGTCCTTCCTTCATTATAACGAAAAGGAAATAAGACGTAGAGACAGAGTGAGGGAGAAATGATGAGAAAGATAGAGATTGCATTGAGAGAGGAGAGAGGTAGAGGAGGTTGAGATGAAGAGGTATGGGACTGTATGTGCGTGGGCGTAGCTACAGCCCACGATGCATTGCACATCTCGCTCAGTGCTTAGTGACTCATGTAGTGCACAATATCTGTGATCAGGAGGCTGAGCTTGTGTGTGTATGTGTGTGTGTGTGTGTGTGCAAGTGTGTGTTTTTGTGCCTGTTTTTTTGGGTGTGTGTGTGTGTGTGTGACTGTGCATGGATATGATTTGTGTCCAGGGTGTGTGAGGAAACTGTTTGTGAATGTTGGATGTGAAATGAGGCATTGCTCTGCTCTCTAGAGCTTCTTCAAATGTCAGGGGAAAGTATGTGGGCCTAACACAAAACGATACATAGATAGATAGATAGATAGATAGATAGATAGATAGATACATAGATAGATAGATACATAGATAGATAGATAGATAGATAGATAGATAGATAGATAGATAGATACATAGATAGATAGATAGATACATAGATAGATAGATACATAGATAGATAGATACATAGATAGATAGATAGATAGATAGATAGATAGATAGATAGATAGATACATAGATACATAGATAGATAGATAGATAGATAGATACATAGATACATAGATAGATAGATAGATAGATAGATACATAGATACATAGATAGATAGATAGATAGATACATAGATAGATAGATAGATAGATAGATAGTTAGATAAATAGATAGTTAGATAAATAGATAGATAGATAGATAGATACATAGATAGATAGATAGATAGATAGATAGATAGATAGATAGATACATAGATAGATAGATAGATACATAGATAGATAGATAGATACATAGATAGATAGATAGATAGATACATAGATAGATAGATAGATAGATAGATAGATACATAGATAGATACATAGATAGATAGATAGATAGATAGATAGATAGATAGATAGATAGATAGATACATAGATAGATAGATAGATACATAGATAGATAGATAGATAGATAGATAGATAGATAAATAGATAGATAGATAAATAGATAGATAGATAAATAGATAGATAAATAGATAGATACATAGATAGATAGATAAATAGATAGATAGATAAATAGATAGATAAATAGATAGATACATAGATAGATAGATAAATAGATAGATACATAGATAGATAGATAAATAGATAGATAAATAGATGGATAGATAGCACAAAGTGATTTTGCCGAGTAAGACATGTTCCTGGATTCAAACATTGCAATCTCAAATCAACGTCGTGCTCAACCAATCACAATTCCATCACATCTAAAGGTCGTACAATAGAAAGGAAAAAAGTTAAAGCAGTACTACAGGGTTTGCTTATTGAGCTAACCTTCCCTGTTAGCATCTCTTGCCTCGTTTGTGGAACACGGTAAGCTGTGCTAATATGAAAGCTTGCAATCAAGCTGGGATGTCTTTACCCTTGAACGTTAGTGAGCGATATCTCACTAACAAGCGTACCTTCAAGCGTTGCCCAGCTTCTACGTGAGCAAATTCACATGCTCTTTTTTTTTAGGTTGGCTATATAAGAGCTATATGAATTTCAAAACAGAAGCATGAGCAGCACAGTGAGGATGTCAAAGAGAAGATTGGTTGATCTCAATGTTGGTCCAATTTGGGTTGCTGATCCAAGAACATGTCCTACCTTTCCATAATCTGAACTGTCCTTTCTGCTAACCGGCTGCTAACAATAGCGTTCAAATTTACCGTATAGACATGAAAACAGCTCACAGCAGAAAGCCAATTCTTTTTTCTGTTCCATTATAATATCCTGTACAATTGGTACAAATAATTGTTGTTGCTGTAATGTATTTTTTCTTGTCCGTCTGTGTTTTCTGGTCCTTTTAGCCTCCATCCAAAGCTCTGTCAAATATTCTGGGGAAGAGTAACCTGCAGTTTGCTGGCATGTCCATAAACCTAAATATCTCCACCAGTAGCCTCAACCTGATGACCCCTGATGGCAAACAGGTCAGTGCGACGCAGCGTGCACATGTGTAATTAAAATAAATGTTACTATGGTAACACCCAGCTGGTACAAATGGTCGATCCGATAGAAATCCCCCCAGCCCCCTTCCCCACGAGTCACAACTGGTAACACCACAACAGAACATCTGAAAGACAGATATGAGCAAGAGAAACACGATATGTCCAGTTGTTTGGAGAATTACCAAAGCAGTTTTGCAACTTTATTGTCCGATTAGCACATACATAGTATTCAAAAATGTTCTCATTGTGGCAGCAGTGGTCAGGGGTTGAATTGCAGTCTACCACAATGTCCTTCTTGATACTGCCAGCAGATGGTGACAGAGTACAAAAACAAAAAAAAAACCCTAATCATACGCTTACAAAATGTATTTACACTTGTGTACGGTTGTTTGAATGAAGAATACTTTTCTCAATCAAACCTTCTGTATATTTTTGCTCCTGACAGATCATAGCCAACCATCACATGCAGTCCATCTCCTTTGCATCAGGTGGAGACCCTGTAAGTATTTCTACTGTACACTGTACAATTGTTTACCTCATCAAGAAAATAAAGCAAAAACAATAAAGTTAACCATACAATTCAAACAAAAAAAAGTGTCTAAATGAGATAGCATTGTTTGTGACAAGTCTCATTTTCACTTCCATGCAGTAAATGTAATAACAGGGCGTGTGGCATCATATTATGGAGATGATTATGGAGATTTCAGCCAAGCTTTATTTTGTATGACCCTTTGTTATTGTGGCAATACATTGAATGACAAAACACTCTTAATTTTTTTTACATTTTTTTTACAGGTTTTTCTATTTTAGGAGTCTGAATTTGATTCTTGATCAATTAAATAAAAACCACTCTGTTACAGCCATGAATTAACCTGATACTGTACGGAGAAAGCGTAATATGAGAGCTATAACGGTTGTTTGTTTCTCTCTCTTTTTCTTTTAGGAAACCACAGATTTTGTTGCTTATGTAGCAAAGGACCCTGTTAACAGAAGAGGTAGGTACTTTGTCCTTTAAAGTGTATCCTACGTTTAAAATGCAGCACATTCATTAAAATCACTTCCTCTTGCTTTTGTCAGCGTGCCACATCCTGGAGTGCTCCGACAGTCTGGCCCAGGATGTTATCAGCACTATCGGCCAGGCCTTTGACCTTCGCTTCCAGCAGTACCTGCAGTGTCCCTCAAGCAAACTGTCCTCCACACATGACAGGTGAGGTGTTCAATGATGCACAGGAAGCATTTACTAAAGGACATATCCACTAACAATCACACACACAGAGAGTAATGAGTTTAAAGTTGACCATGTTTTCTCGCCAGGGTATTAAACATGGAGGAGTTACATTGGACAGAGGAAGAGGAGGAAGCGTCTGATCATCCTTATTATAACAACATCCCTGGGAAGATGCCACCACCCGGAGGCTTCATCGACGCACGGCTGACCAATCAGAATGCAGCACCAGATGGATGCCAGGTACATCCCGATTGATGTGAATTAATCCTGAGCGGAATATCTTCCCCTTTGAGTGTAATACATCTCTGTGTGTTTGTATGTGATCAGATGGGCCCAGGTTCAGTAGATCAGACATATTACCAGGGTCGGCACTGTGGAGAAAACTGGGGAGATGAAAGAAAGCCCATATTCATACAGCAGGGTAAAAAAAAAACGCATGATTCTGACTACTTCAATACAAAAGATGTGTTCAATTATGCGGAAATGTGATCGTTTCAACACTGTGGCTATGTGTTTTTCTCCCAAAATGTCTACTGTAGGTTCATTCGATATAAGCAGTCTACCTGACAGTAAGGGTCAGACACCAAAAACAGGAGAGATGCCCACATATGTGAACACTCAGCAGATTGATGCCCAGGTGCTCGCAGCACTCCAGGCAGAGGCTGAAAATGTGACAAAGGGCATGGCAGCTGCAGCCAAAGAGAGCCCGCAGAAGGACCTGTTTGACATGAGTAAGTCCTGGATTATCCGTTATAAAGTTTGTGTTGTTCATCTGCACTGGTTCGCACCAGTTCTCAGACTGCAAACATTTAATTTGCTGCACCAGCTGAGATTGTTCCAACGCAGGCATGAGTTACAGCTGACGCCTTACACCTTGCTCCTTAGTAGGCTAACCCAAGGTTTTTAAAGGTAGGATAACTTGGAGAAATGAGGAAGAACGGACAGTTTTACCAGCTGTTTGACGTCGGCAGTGCGTTCTCCGTGATTACATTACATCCCTTAAAAAATGTATGATGTCTTGTTGTCCATGAGCAGAGATCATTGTTATTTTACACTAGCTGTAGATCAGTTATTTTAAACACCTTACCATAATGCTTTGTCATATTTCACATACATTTTCAGTCCATGTTTGTGGATACAATGCAGTGAACAGAAGTTATTTTCAGCCGTCAGACTGTACACACAGTTAGGCATGAGAGGAAACACCATAACAAACACTGCATGTGTTTACTGCTCACTGATTGGTTCTGCCACAGTAATTTGTTTAGTTTGAACGTTACCCACTTCCACTTGATATAAACTTTATGTCCCTGTGGTGCAACCAAACAATGACAGAACTTAAATTACAAACTAAGTAGTGTCAAGGTAAGGTTTAGTGTGGACGTTACACCACAATTTTAGTCAGAACTTACACATAACTGGTGCAACAGGCTGCTGATCTGATTGAGACCCCCATGTTGAAGTATCACAAAGTATCATGATGTTTTTTTTTCTTTCAGCATCACACGGTAAGATAACTTTCTAACCACAGTTCTTAATTATAGAGCTATCCTAGCTCATGTTCCTCATTGACCTGAGCGTGGCGTTATAATAACACTTTAACGGTATGAAGACAAAAGGACGACAATGTTAATACCAGTGTGCAGAGTGTATCATTTCCTCCTGTCAAGTTCAAGCCTAGCTTTGCAATTATTACACATGACAGATCAGTGACATGGGAATGTGTGCAACTGTACATGAAGAAGTCATGACATAAATTACATGTGAGCACACAGTGAACTGGTCTTTAATGAAATCTAACTTTAGTCCTCAATTTAAGCCTACATAAGTTCTTGCATTTTCTTTGTGCCTTTTTTTCTGGTGTAATGTTTTATTTCACTTTGCAGTTCCACCACCTGTTAACCAGAAGGTGGCTCAGTCAATAAAATACATTAACTTTGTTAACCGTAAACTTTGATATCAGTTAATTCCATGAATGATTCATTGAAGTTCATGTTAACCAATATTATCAAAAAACAACCAAAACATCAGTTTTAGTACTTAGTTGTTTTTTTTTAAAGGTGACTCTACCTCTGGCTTCAAAAGAAAAACTAACGTGGAAAATGCCTTTAAACTGCATTCTTTGCAATGGCCAGAAGAGGGAGACTTCTCAGATTTGGTGAAAAGAAATTCTGACTAAAGAAACCACTTGAAAAGGTTAAAAAGAACCTAATACTTGGTTGATTTATTGCATCAGTAAAAAAAAAAAAAAAAAAATGATTCAAATGTCTCAAGACATGATCCACGCATCATGTTTTTTTTTTGTAAATAGTGAAATCAACAATTTAGCAGGGTGTGCTGTAGACACACATGGCTTCGTGTGATTGAAAAGTTGCTACCATGGCGACCTTTAACCCAGGACAGAAAGGTATAGAAGTGTATCCATGCTGTTGTCCAATAATTTTGTCTTATCGCTACTTTAAAACAAAAAAGCCATTTGGAAAGCTCATAGCTTCAAATGACATCTCACATACCATCGGGTGATGTCAGAGCGGCGGTTTCCACATTTTTTATCCAGTCTGTTTTTTAATAAAAGAAACAAAAATCCACACACTTTTTCGGTCGCAAGGAATCAGTGCACTGATCTCAAGCTGAAGCGATGCTGAGTTTGTGCTCCAGGCAACATTTTTTCTTAAAACAATTACAGCATCAGATCTTTTGGATTAGCATAGTTTATTATTCACACATGTAGGATATCAAGTAAGAAATTGTGCTCTACATATCTTTCCTCTCCTCATTCATCACTTTGACAATACCCTCACCAAAAACAGAGCCCTTCGAGGATGCCATTCAGTCACAGTCCCACCCGCCGTCCCAGGGACAAGTCCAGTCGCAAGTTTCAAGTCTTCACAAAGCAGCGTCTGTGGACAACTCCAGCCCTCTTCTGGTGCGCTCCCTGGCCTTCCGGGCACAGGAGGAGCTGGAGGGACAGGCGTGGTACCACGGCAAAATGAGCCGCCGGGACGCTGAAAAACTTCTGAAAGAGGACGGGGACTTCCTGGTTCGTAAGAGCACCACCAACCCAGGGTCTTATGTTCTGACTGGCATGCACAATGGACTCGCAAAACACCTGCTGCTGGTGGACCCAGAGGGCACGGTAAGAAGGCGTTCCACAGGGAGATACTCGTTGATAAAAATCACTGATTAGTCTTGAAAGTCACAATTCTTCTTCTCTCTCCCTCTCTCAAAGGTACGGACAAAAGATCATATATTTGATAGCATTAGCCATCTCATTGGCCATCACCGTGACAACAATCTGCCCATTGTGTCCGCTGGGAGTGAACTGTGTCTTCTACAACCCGTCGGAAGAAAACAGTGATGCTTGTAATGCCTGATGGGAAACAGGAAGCTTTGGACAGTCATTCCTACCATCCTGAAACTTGAAGATGAAAAATGAAGATAAGATGCTAAAAGGCTCAATGCACTGACGGTGATTTTTGGAGAAAAAAAAAATTAGCCTGTGGTTACTTTACTGGAGGGACTGGAAGATGCAAGATTTGTTTAAGAAAAAAATATTTATAGAACTGTTATTATTTTGTTGTGATGACTGAAATGCTATATTTTTGAGAAGACATAGGTGTATTTGGACATAATATCTTGATTTGGTGTTTTAAAAGATTTAAAAAACGACAATTGTTCTTGTAGTTTAGATGAAAGTGCAAATCACACCTCAAAGAGGTGTTAACAAGAGTATTTTAGAATAAAAACCGGAAATTTTAGTTTTGTCTGTCAAGCACAACCACATTTCTACAGAAAGCGATGGTTAAGAAGTCGAGGAAACAAACACACATGCTGTTTGTAATGAATGACTTCATGAAGAAGGATCTCACCACTAGGGGGACAGCTCACTCAATTAGTCTCTATATGAAATCTGCTTTTATCTGGGATTAGATCTGAATGTGTTTTGCTTTGCAGTAGTCACAAAGTGTCAGGGTGCAAACAGACATCCTCCATAGTGCTGTCAATGGCTTTAAAGATTTTTATGAAGTATTTTCTCGTGTCACTGCAGTCGCATGACTTAAAATCAACTGTTCTTGTGGACATTGTTCGTAGACCTTGATACCCCTTTATTTGAAAGAGGTGCTTGTGTATGCTGACACTGTAAAAAATATATATATTTATGCTTTCAACCAGTGATTATTACTGAATCGGTTTCCTCTGGATTCTTCTTTTAGGTGTGTAGTCGATGATTAGTTTTGGGGGCTTGAGTCATGCAATGGATCTTCTCAAATTCTTCAGCTTTTTTTTTTTGGTTGGACTTTCTAAAAAAAGTTATCATTTGAATTATCACAAATGAGCACAATCAGAGAATTAGATCAGTTAGATCATGTGTGTCACTCGCACCAAGACAAATGACAAATATGTTGAGAGGTAATTTACTGCTTAAATCGGACAAATGTCTAGTTCACACAGAATGTTTAATATTACACCACCTTCACCTATCAATGTCAGAAACATTTGATTTCTCACTATGTGAATATCTTACGGCAATACCGCTCAGTTGTCACTAGATGTCACCATAGAAATGCATGTTCAGCCCGTCTGTCACGCTCATTCTTTAGTCTTATTAGGACAGGATGCTACTGAGGAAACATCCCAATCTACGAAAAGTGAGTTTCCAACCTTTTTGCTTGACCAGCGTTAGAGTTAATTTGCATTTCACTGTCCACTGCACCTAATCAGAACACTTTGCTGTGTGTAGGTGAGAAACACTTGTGTTTGTAGAGTGGGAACCCACATTCTGAGACGCCTTCTAGATAAAGTACACTGACTTTCAAAATGGTCTCATGCTTACTATTGTCAGTACTCTGATGGATACCAAATGAATAGATATGCACTGAACCACTTCAGTTGAACCAGAATCAGCAGGAGTTCAATGAGTTTGACGAGACACATGCAATGTAATATAACATGCCTGTATTTTGCTGCAAGAGGGAGTGTACAGTACATGCATCTCAACAACACATATTTGAGCAAAGAGCAGTATAGGGATCTTTAGAGAGATAATCCACTGGAAGATTTGTCTTTGGTTTAGTCTTCACTTGATTCCTTGAGTTCCTTTGAGCAGAATGCAGGAGAGGAGGTGCCGTAGATATTGGCACTGTTGATAGAAAGGAGAGAAAAGTGCACAAGGAATAACTTATAGGTTACCCCGCCATAAAACTTTTACTTTGTCCAATTATTTTTGACATGATTTCATGTAATCTAATATCCTGGAAGAGGGAATAATGTGCTTAAATTTTAAAGAGGCACTATGCTCACGTCAAGAACTCTTTTAGAACGAAGTCTTTATTTCTGGAGAGCAGATTTGAAATAATGAAATGTGCAAAATTCTGAACAACTCAAACAGAAAAAGAACAAAACGCTAGAATCTCTCTAAAGTCTAAAGACATGACGATTAGCTGCTCGGCATAAAGAAATCAGACAACCAAACGTGCTGGGACACAGAAAGAACACGTCTTCTTTCCAGATTTCTGTTGATGAAAATGTGCCTTTTATTTGTATAAATGGTATTTTTGTTCCTCTTTCTCTCTCTCTTCAAAGTGCAATAGCTGATCTTCAATGGGGCATGCCTGTTCACTAGAGGTCGTGTTTCGCCCTGCTGCGTGTTGCTGCTTGAGACTACTGTTTTCTCTCTCTCTCTCTGTCTCCCTCCCTCCCTCCCTCCCTCTCTATTATATATTATAAATGTATCATTTCCAGGTTCTTGATATAAATCTTTGTTGGAGGGAATCTCACAGAAAACTCACTATTTTGGAAAAGGTATAGAAAAAGAAAAAGGAAATAAAAAACAAGAAATGAGTCCAAATGATGTTTACAGATTTAATCCTTTGGTTGTTTGGGTTTATCATTATTCTGTATGACTGTTGGCAATAAAACCGTGAATGTGTAGAATCTTTTTTACTTACCTCTGCTGTAATAGAAACATCTCTCAGTTTAAGGCAGACAGCGTAATTATAGTTTTCGCTTAAATTTGAAGGATTCTCACAGAAATGTCTTTTTAAGTTCTCTTTAAATGTGTAAGATATTTTAATTTATTATGCTTACACTCTGAGACTAGAATCCTTTTTTTTTTTCTTTTTTTTTGGCCAATAATATGAACATCTGTTTATGAAAAAAGTAGAAAAATTATGCCATTTCCATTTCTGGAAAGAACAGTTTACACAATTAGTGACATATATATAAATCTACCCACCTTCAATCTATATCATATGTGGTGGCTGAAGTCTCTTCATGTTGACATAATCAAAAAAAAAAAAATACAACATGGCTCACTTTGACTGCAAATAAAGTAAATACACTACAAAACAAATGTATCAGTAAATTAGGTGAATTTGGACTCAATTATTGAGATGGATATTCTAATAAAGTCTCTCTAGTCAGGAAAAGCTATGGGGATCAATACAGCTGATCCACTGGCGATTCTAGAGTCTGTTGGGGCCCCAGGGAAATAATTGGGGCCCTACAACCCAGCATTTTTCCCCATTATATGTGCCTGTGTTCGTTTTCTACGGCTGCTGTAGTTTGAAGTTTGTGAGCCATCAGGGCCCCCCCCCCTACTGTTCTGGGGCCCCAAGCAGATGCCTGCCCTGCCTGTTGAGAAGCAGCGCCTCTGAGCTGATCTCATCTCTACTGGAAAGATGACTGGTGATTGAGGTGAGTCCTCTCTGTTAATCATGTTAACTCTTTTCTTTTGTTGTACATTGTCTTTACAATAGCTTTACAATTGTCATTACAATAGCTGCACCAGTTCACATGCTCAATCAACATGCGCCTTTTTTTTTTTTTTTCTTCCAAGCGTCATGCTTTTAAATTGAGACAAAACTTTTACACTTCTTGAATTATCAGATTCAGAAATCAGAGTAACTTGGTATATATGGTACTAAAATATGATTTAAAGATTCTGTACTAAATAAGTAGCATGTAGTGGAAATAGCCAGCATTAACTACCATTATTAACCAGAAGGTGGCGCCCTGGTATCATTAGAGTGACTGTACTCAATGACCTGCATCAGATAACAGTTCACTTTCAAGATGATGCTGTTTTGTTAGAATGAAAGGGGCTGAACGTTCAAGTCTTCAATGTTTGTTTTTATGTCACTTACATCACATCTACAATTTATTATGCAGTTGTTTTTTTACTTACAGTA